TGCCGATAAACCTCGTGGGCAGGAATAATTTGAGATCCATGTTTTTAGGGCCATGTTTTTTAGCGCCGTCCTCTTGCTCTTGTAGCTGATCTTCTGTGATCCTCTGTGATCCTCTGCTAATTCTATAAGTGCACATCCACACCGCTGGTTTGACCGGCTGGCCAGGTTATATAGGGTAAGTTTCATGTCAAAATCCAAGTGGTCAAGGTGCAACTTAAAGAGGTGGCCGCCATTCAGAGGCGGTCTTCCGGTTAGGTTCACATTATTCTCTCCAAAAAGCGTAGGTCACTTTTCATTCACAAGTTTGTGGAGCTGGTCAACTTTCCTGAAGGCTACGGGTGTGTCCCGTTCTGTTGTTTGCTTTCTGCGTTGTATCGCAATTACGTTTTCAGTCTGTGAAAAAGAAAGCCTGTGACATAGCTGCTGCACTTTCTAGAGGGGATGTGACTGGGTAGGTTTCTTCACGTTTTTGGAGTGTTAAAAGCGCTGACGTGCTGAAATATACAACACGCGATATCAACGGCATCGCGGAACATCTCTTTGACGTTGTGCGAAGGTCACGGGGCTAATGAACTACCAATCATAAGTGAGCTAGTGTGTTTATGGGCGGGGCCTGGGGGGACTAACGTAACGTGTTCCGGTCTTCCAGTTCCAATCAACGAAAATGGGATCAAAGTAGGCAGGTGGTTAACCTAGACAAAAAGTCAACTTAGAGATTCTACTGTATATTATGTGCCATTCCGCAGTTTACTGTTATCGTTGTTACTGTTTGTTGTTATTAAACATGTAAACATTGATTACACCTCATAGTTCGGAGTTTGTGGCTTAGGCGTTGCGAAAGCGCTTCGTAACGCCTTGGGTGTCCAGTTCGATCCGAACTGCGGACGATTTGTCTTGCGTTAGTTTCGACAGTGTTACCGACAGCTGACCGTTTAGATAGCAATGGCAAACTACTGAACGTGAAATTTGACAAGAAAATCCTCAACAGCGAAATAATACTAGGGCTGGTTCTGCAACGTCCTGTAAAGGATACCCAACTAATTGAGTCTCACAGAGCCGTCTCTCACTCATACAAGATATAAGCGGCAGAGTCCCACAAACATAATGCTTTCCTTCTGTTGGCGGCGCAGCAATTGGACCAATGGTTGAAAACTAATTCGCACTCTTTCACTCAGTTTTATTTCAAATATTTACCCGAAAACACAACCTCTGTATACTGAGACCATCTAAAACACTCCACAGACATAATAGAGGGCACTGAACACATGTTTACAATTACAATATGTGTGTGACAGTTTCCATACAGATCTGGACAGGTCGCGTGTCGACTGATGATGCAAACAGGTCAAAGGTCTCAGCGCATGAATAGATTGCCGCTATCGCATGTCAAAGGGCGCGACTTCCCATCACTGATTTGCATGCGATCTGCTCTGGAATAATGGTCGTGCTAATTTGTCAGCAGTTTCTGTAACAGGGGCGATTCTCTCAGTCTTGTTCGCTGATGGTTGTTGATAATGAGGGTACATTTGCTACTGTTCAATATAATAGGATTGAACAGCTTCTTCTTCTCTGCATTCTTCTCCTTCCTTTTCTCCTCCACCTCCTCATTCTACCACCACCACTGCCGCTGCTTCTTTGTGTGTGTTTTTTTTTCTGCGCCATGTTCTTTACCTCCCCGTAATCACATTTACTATCATCACCACAATGGCCGTCATAATCTATTTGTCGTGCATTTCCTCGTTATCATCAACTTTTCGTTATTCCATTGTGTTTTCTGACTTCCTCATCATCCCCGTTAACACCACCAGCATCATAGTCTATGGTTTCGCTGCCTGAGCTACTGAGTTTAGTGAATGGTGCAGCACTGTGAGCTGTGTTTTTCATGTGGAATACCTTTCATTTGTGCAGCGGCTGTGTCGTAGTACTCAATATGGCCGATATTCTGTTTACGTATGTTCTGGTTAAATACCTGATATAATAATTTATGGCCGCATGGCTAGTGCTGTCGCAACGACTGTGCAGGTGAGGATTTACGTGTGTATAGCCAACTTATTGTGACTGAGTGATTCTATCAACGACATACTGCATTTCTGGTGGTGACTGTTGGCTTTGGCGCCTCTAGCAACTGCCATATGCACTTACTGGGTGCGCATATTTCTGGATTGTGCTGGACAATTGTTTGTTCACCAGTTTTTCAAACGGGACAGTTGGGAACATTTCATTTGATTTTTACTGTCGCGGGAACGGAACAAGATGGGGTGACCCGATTGCTGTGAAACTTAACCCTCGACGAAGACTAAGACTAAGATTAAACGTTTTTTTTTTTTTTAGTTGTTGTTGCTGTTGTAATGTATCTTTGGTTGATCTTCTTCACATTTAGTTCAGCTTCTTCACGTTCTTCATCATCACGTTCTTCGCCTTTATCTTCTATACAGTTAGCATCATCTTCTATTACCAGAGGTAATTTTAGTCCACATCGTGCTAAAGTTGGCGTTATGTCTCTCAATGACTGACTGTCTAGTGTGCTGCCAATAATTACTGAACTGATGTCAATGCATGCCATGAGGCTAAACCGTTCAACATCTCCTTTGTCCGAAATTATATGTGAAGTAAAGGCGATCAGTGCCAGTATAGATTAACCACATATATCCATCGAGTGCTAGGTGGTGAAAACAAATATGGGCCCAGCACTTATATGGGATCCCGGGTGGTGTAGCGGCTAGACGGTCGCATGCGGATCCGAAGGTTGCGAGTTCAAATTCTCATGGAGACAGACATTTTATTTTTCAGAATATAACATTGGCTCCCCGCTCGACCCAGTCTTAAATGGGTACCAGGTAAAGTGCAGGGACGTAAAGGCGGTTCCTCTACCCACCTCCTTTGTACCCTCGACCCTCCCTCCCCGAAAAAATTAGGACCCGGAATCCACGCAGAAAATCTTTATTGATGAAAGCAACGCTGAGGCTGGCGACGACAATGTTGGCGACGATAATATTGATATTCGATTACATTATCAACTTAGTAAATCTAGAAAATATCCAAATAAATAATTCTAAAAGATGATTTAAGTCTGTAAAATTTGTGAATTTTGCACGGCACATTTAACTTCATTGAAAATCACAGCAAATGTTCTCTTTCTTGACATGGCAGCTCACAGAAATGTGACCAATTTGCTAATGTGTTTCTACCTAATTACTTGTCTTGGCGTTGTCGTTTTTACATTAGGAATAATTTTTTCTAAAAATTCCGGGTTTAAAAACGTTATTAATTACACAATAGCTCCAAAAAATGTAGTGCGTAATTTAATACAGCTTGCTGTGAAACAGAAAGGCGTGCAGATAGATGTAAAAAGTCGGGGAGATATTAGAGCAGAAAGAAAGGGACACTATATAAAGAGGAATGGAGATAGGGAGAAAGGCATTCACTGAGAGGGGGAGAGGGATATAGGAGAAAAGAGGGAAATGAGACATGTGGACAGTTATCCAAAAGAAAGAGAGTGAGTGAAAGAAAGAGTGTTAGAGAGAGAGAGAGAGAGAGAGAGAGAGAGAGAGAGAGAGAGAGAGAGAGAGAAGAGAGAGAGAGAGAGAATATCTAATTAAGGAGCGCTGACTCATACGACAAGAGAAGAGCAAGAGACTTTTGAAAAAGCTAGGTAATATAAAGGAGAAAAAAAGACGCAATATAAAATAAATATGTACAGCGGGAAAGAAAGAAAGACAGAAAGAAAGAAAGAATGATATAAAGAATGATATAAAGAAAGAGAGAAAGAAAGAAAGAAAGACTGAAAGAAAGAAAGAAAGAGAAGAAAGAAAGAAAGAAAAAAAGAAAGAAAGAAAGAAAGAAAGAAAGAAAGAAAGAAAGAAAGATAGAAGATAGAAAGAAAGATAGATAATAGAAAGATAGAAGAAGAAAGAAAGAAAGAAAGAAGATAGAAAGATAGATAAGAAAGAAAGAAAGAAAGATAGATAGTAAAATAGATAGATAGATTAGATAGATAATTAGATAGAAGTGTGAGATAGATAGATAGATATATACAGATAGACAGATATCTAGATAGACAGACAGACAGACAGACAGACATACAGACAGACAGACAGACAGACAGACAGATCAGATAGATTAGAGACAGACAGACATACAGACATACAGCAGGCAGGCATAGAGAGAGAGAGAGATTAGATTAGATAGATAGATAGATAGATAGATAGATAGATAGATAGATAGATAGATAGATAGATAGATAGAATAGATAGATAGATAGATAGATAGATAGATAGATAGATAGATAGATAGATAGATAGATAGATAGATAGATAGATAGATAGATAGATAGATAGATAGATAGATAGATAGATAGATAGATAGATAGATAGATAGATAGATAGATAGATAGATAGATAGATAGATAGATAGATAGATAGATAGATAGATAGATAGATAGATAGATAGATAGATAGATAGATAGATAGATAGATAGATTAGATAGATAAACGCTCTCCCTCTCTTTTTCACCCACCCCTGTTTTCTCTTTCTCCACACGGCACTCTCTGGCTCTTTCCATCTCTCTCTCTTTGTCTATCTTTCTTTGAACCACTAATTGTATCCCTTTTCTCGCCTCCCCCCCCCCCCCCCCCCCACTACCCCATTTCTGTCTGCCATTTTTTCTCTCGTCCTCAAACGCTCTATCTTTCTTACTCCTTGTCTGATTCACTAAATGTACCCCTCTCCTCTCTCTTTTCTCTCTCTCTCTCTCTCTCTCTCTCTCTCTCTCTCTCTCTCTCTCTCTCTGCATTTCTTTCTCTCGTCCATTGCCCTCTCTCTCTCTCTCTCTCTCTCTCTCTCTCTCTCTCTCTGGCTGTCTCTTCTTCCTTATCTCTCGCTCTCCACCTCTCACGCTTCGTCTCTCTGTCTCTCTTCTGCTTCCAAACATCGAATCCTGTAGTTTTAAATACGGCACAGTTTTGTTAACATCCTAGACAACATTAAGTATATAGACTTACCTTCCCCATCCCCGGGTTCTGCAGGCGACCCACAGTCCTCAGCAAACATGGCGGGGCGGGTGGGGGAGAAAGTCGGATGATCTCAGCAAAATTTGTGGGATATGTGGGTTGTGGCTCTTGATCCTGTGAATGCTGACGTTTCTTCTTTTTTCCAAGCTTCTGTGCTGCCCTAAGAAAAACATGAAACGGTGAAATCAACGGTAATACAGGCAATCTGTAGCTAAGTCGATGCGAACGCTTCGTAATGCCGGGGTGCCGGGTTCGATCCCAGCTGCGGGCCATGCGCCTTGCGTTGGTTTCGACAGTGGTATCAGGGGGCCGACCGTCCAGGAAGCAATGGCAAACAACTGAACGTAAATCTGCCTAGAGAAACAACACAACAGCCAGGGGCTGCTGGGGTTGGTTCTGCAACGTCCTGTAAAGGATACGCATTTAACCAATACAGGTAATACATAGCTTTCAGATGTTTGAGATGAGAACGTGTTAATTTATAATACTAATGCCGTTTTTCTTGTAGTCATGATTGTGCTGGGGGCGGAAACAACTGTAAGATCCAGATCACATTTGGTCATCACCCAGGGTCATAATAAGCGAGGTTTGAGGTTTGAATAACAGATCAACATCATGACACACGGGTAGCAACCCACAAGTTCTCCGTTCTTGTTCTAATTCATGTCTTAGTCCGAGAAGCTCAGCACAAGCTCGGCTTTGTAGCACCGGCGAGGATCCTGAAATATTTAGGTAGCTTTTTAACTCCAAATTTTGCCACGGGCAGCGCCGTCTGTCTATTCTTTTCGATTGCTAACTGCCAAGAGATTTTTTTTACGTGCGCTAAATGGACACAGGCGTCTGATCTCACTACCCAGAGACCAGGGGAATTACAAGAATCTCAAGTCCACGTGAAAAATCACAGCCCTTGCCGGGGATTAAACCCATAACCTCTAGCACTCGCTCTTGCAGATTACTTTGGTCATCACCCATAGTCATAATAACCAAGAAAGATTGAACCCAAAGATGGTTCCCAAAGATGTTGCTGTGACTACTGTTCTCTGAACAATATAACCAACAGCATTCCATATCAGCAGCTGCCGGTGAGTGATGGACTTATTGGGACTACTTAACGAATCCATTTATTTCACGACGCTGTAAACCGCAACACAATATGGTATCAAAATGCCCTTTTAATAAAGTGAACGCAGAAAAAGATGTGCCCAAAACCCACAGTTTAACAGCTAAAAAAAGTTCAGCACTTGTTTCTGAATCTTTGTCTGTGACGATTTCATAGCAGATACTGAAGAATTAGCCTCGTGAATTAGTGCAGGACTCTCGCTGGGACGGCAAATATACATCCAATGCATAAAAACCTGCCCAAAATCACTCATTTAGAAACGGCACATCAAATGAGTTGGTCATCTCGTTAACATCTAAAATTGCTGACATTAGTACAAGAGGGCGCCCATTCATTATGGATCGACGACATTACAAACAATATTTGTCCACATGGAATGACAGTTGCTTGTGCTTCCCACCAGGAGCTGGACCGAAAAGTGGTCCTCTTCACGCTTCTTAACAAACATGGAAGTTTGATGATTTATAAAAAATGCAGTGTCGTATGTTGCAAGCCATGTTTTATATGGCATGTGTCAGACTCTGTGGTACTTTGCCTGGTAGACGGAGAGGGCAAACGATCATGTTGGTTGCGTCTGTAATAATAAACGCGGTTTCATCTTTCAGCCTCACCGACAAACGCCACTGGTGACTATGCTATGAAGATAAGCTTCACGTTTTGTTTTATTTTTATTTAGGGTATTCTGGCCGTTATATCAATATTTGCACAGCAACATCTACGTCCGCAAATATAATGATCTGCCGGCTTCAACAGAATGGATTGTAATGGTATGCCATACGCGGCATATGTATATCAATGGAGGAAAGGAAAGGGATTTAGAGCCTCATATTGTACGAACGAACGAACGAACGAACGAACTTTATTCTCAAAGGGTTAAGAATTGGGCACACAGGCCCGTCTTAGATTCTGCCCTTCTGGTCTCATGCCATGCATACATTATTCATGCATACATTGTTTTAGTAGACAATAACAATAATAACAATAATAATAATATAATTCATAGGCGTTATCAATAACATCTTTGTGACAATGTCCAAGAACAAGATGAAAAGCCAACACCAGAGACACTCTACAACAGTAGGAAGGCGTCTTTGATAAACTGTGGTCACAAAATTAAGAAGCATAACACTGTATTTTTCTCGATATCTGAAAAATAAGGAAAAAATACCAGAAGAAGCAAAAGAAGATTTAAAAGATGATAATGATAATGATGATAATGGAGAATGAGCGAGAGAAGAAGAGAAGTGGGAGAGAGGAGCAAGAGAGAGGGATAGGAGCAGGAGGAAGAGAAGCAGCAGCAAAGAAGAAGAAGAAGAAGAAGAAGAAGAAGAAGAAGAAGAAGAAGAAGAAGAAGAAGAAGAAGAAGAAGAAGAAGAAAGAAGAAGAAGAAGAAGAAGAAGAAGAAGAAGAAGAAGAAGAAGAAGAAGAAGAAAAAAGAAGAGAAAGCCATGGATCACCACAGCACGGCTACATTTGTGGGTGTTATGCTGTTTTTCTTAGACTGAATTATTCCTGAATCACCTCCCCCGGTAGGGAGCAAATATCAATACCTGCGATTGTATTCTCCCACGACTACACTGGCCTCTGTGTTTCTCCAGCAGCTGATATTTCTAAGTGTCCCTTGTGCTGGGCTGTGTACCTTTCCACTCGACATCCCCCGGTCTGGCACTCAAATCCTGCCAGTTCACATTATCCCACGGGCGGGTACTGCCGGCAACAAATGAAAGCTTAGATGGCCAACACGCTTCGGCAAACCCGTCGGCTTGTTATGGGAGAATTAGGATGGCTGCAGACGGTTAATTTCCGTTCAGGTAATAATCGTCTGAAAGGTGTTACATTTTATGGCGTCAGTAACAATCAGAGAGCGACCAATTTCTGTTTCCGTTTACATGTCAGGCGTAGGGAGAGGACCATTTGCTTGGAAAATTACACATAAAGCTTTGTGAGATCATAAATGGGCTCTCTCTCTCTCTCTCAGACAGTCTCTGCCACTCTCTCCTTGCGTCAACCATTCTCTCTCTAGCTTTCTCAGACAGTCTCTGCCACTCTCTCCTGGTGTCAACCCTCTCTCTCTCTCTCTCTCTCTCTCTCTCTCTCTCTCTCTCTCTCTCTCTCTCTCTTTCTCAGACAGTCTCTGCCACTCTCTCCTGGTGTCAACCTCTCTCTTTCTCTCTCTCAAACCGAAAGTGATCTTGTCATGTTACACTGTAGCGCCAAACTCTCAAGCGCTACTTGAAAAGAATGACCGTTGGCCAGATTCGTGTTTCTGCATGTTTTGACAAGGAAATCCGGGGATTTCGTGTTTCTGCACGGTCTTGACAGAAGACAATTATGGAGATTCAATATCTGAACGCTTGGAACTCTTCCAGTCTTACACAGCTTTAATTTAACTTATTCTATACATATTAGGATAGAGTGTCCGAAAAAAAGGGGACAGTTGCAAATTTGAAGTGAATCTTACAAGAACTATTTTTTGGCTACTATTAATGAACGTAAAATTGTGACAACATAGATGAAATGCCTTAGAAGAGCTGCAGGAGTTTCGAGGAAAGACAGAATACGAAATCATGAAATCAGACGAATGCTAGAAATAAAGCCAGTCTCACAAGTCATCAAAGAACAACAAATGAAGTGGTTTGGAGACCTAACACGAATGCCCTGGCACTATCTGCCACAGCGAGCCACACTGAAAGGTAACAATGGGTATAGAGCGAGCGGAAGACCTCGGAAAATATGGAGTGATGGTATTAGGAACAGCCTTACAGAAATGAGCATCATTCTCAACAGTGCTCTTGATACAGCTCATCAAAGAATGTTACATCTTCCTGCGACACTAAGGTACAAAGTGGAAGAGAAGAAGAAGTTGCACATTTTTTGTTTCTCCTAGTTCCAAATTGAACAAGCAGAGCATGACAAAAAGAATAGGAGCGGGTGGTTATCTGTTTCTTTCTTGAGGATAGAGAATAAAGTACTCATGCCTCTCTTAGACTCATATGTATGTTAATGCACTGCATTGAGATTCTTTGGACTAAGGCTTGGGTTAGAAGTAGAACGGAGCACTTATGGGTTACTACCCTTGTGACATATGGTATGGAACGTCACAGGTCGACCAAGCCTAAAATGGGCACCATGATGTATGTCCTGGAAAAGTAAAGACGGTCGGCGTAATGCTGACCACATTACCACCTAGTGTCGATTAGTCTGTAAAAATATGGGTGCTCTTCCCATCTGCGCGATTCGCGTAAGGTGTGAAAAGGGATCTTTACTTTACTATACTAACCCTTGTGACATGATATTGATTAGCTGTTTAAACCTAAACCTTAAATCCTACAGTGGATAAACAAACAAGCAAGAAGAGGATTAGAGAACACGGTAGCTCGTTGGAGGCTATGTTAAAAGTGTGGACGCATCTGTAATAGACACCTAGGTGATTACTTGTAGATTTTTTATTTAAAAAAAAAAAAAGAAGCCCTGATAACCATCAACATCGGGTTGTACCGGTAAACGACACATACAGGTTACAGCTTCTTCTTTCATTTCGTTCTACTGTGTCATGTGCTGATGTTTTAATTAGGGCTGTACCGAATATTCGCTTCGTATTCGCTTCGGGGCCGAATAGTGGACCTAATAACTATTCGGTATTTGGCCGAATAGTTGCGGTCGGGCCGAATACGAATAGTGGTTACCTTACTCCCGTTTCTGCATACACTGTGATGGACTGAAATAATTCTCTCATTAACACAATCGTTGCTGTTGCCTAAGTCTGTCGTAGCGGGGGAAACTGCTACTCAGTTTCGTGGTACAAACTGCATAAAATGTCAACCGCAGTGTGTGTGTGTGTGTGTGAGAGAGAGAGAGAGAGAGAGAGAGAGAGAGAGAGAGAGAGAGAGAGAGAGAGAGAGAGAGGGGGAGATAGAGAGAGATCATGCATTTTTTGTTCTTACAGGGTGTCTTCGCCCAAATCAAATTTGAAGATATTGCTAACGAGAATATGAAGGTGCGTTTAAATTACATCGAACGAACGGCCGAGCGAGCGATGG